CTCTCTCGCTCGCGCTCTCTCTGTCGCTCTTGCTCTCGCTCCCGCTCTCTCGCTCTCGCTCTCTCGCGCGCTCTCTCTCTCTCTCTCTCTCTCTCTCTCTCTCGCTCTTTCTCTCTTTCTCTCTCTCTCTTTCTCTCGCTCGTGCTCTCTCTCTCGCTCTTGCTCTCGCTCTCTTTCATTCTCTCTAGCTTTTTCTTTACGTCCTCCCCCTCTCTCTTTCTCCGTGTGCGCGCCTGGATACAACACTTACAGTAGAAGCAGCCGTTTGGAGTGTGGGTGGTGGGGACTCTCTCTCCCCTGCCCCATCTCACCCCTCCCCCTCCCCCTCCGTCGCTCCGTCTCCTCCCTCTACCGCTCAGGGGCATTTATGTTGATTGCTCGCCTACTATGCGTAATGTCAACACTCGGCTGGGTTATAGCTGTAGTGGGAGAGTGAAGTGTGGTGGCGAGCTGTGCGCGTGGGGGTGCCCAGGGCGCGGATTAGCTAGAGGTTGACCCGTAACGCTGTTAGCACGCTACGCGCCCCACTAACTCTCATCATCTATATACTCCGCGATACGCTGCAGAGACGCGCTACCATGGTAACGGGCACAAGCATGCTGCGATACGCGCTGCTATCGTAACGGTTACAAGCATGCTGTGATAGGCGCTACCATAGCAACGGTTAGCGATACGCGCTGCCATGGTAACGGTTACAAGGATGCTGTGATACGCGCTGCCATGGTAACGGTTACAAGGATGCTGTGATACGCGCTGCCATGGTAACGGTTACAAGGATGCTGTGATATGCGCTGCTATGGTAACAGTGAGGATGATGCTGTAAGATGCACAGCCATGGTAACGTTCACAAGCATGCTGCGAGGGTCGCTGCCATGGTAACGGTGACGCAGGTAAAAGTTTAAAAGCTTTTGCTGGGCATCGACTGCAATGGCGACTAATAATCACGGTTATGCCGCCCCCTGGTGGCGGAGCATTGCGACAACGAGGCGTGGTCGACGCAGCGCCGCTAGGATAACATTATATGTAATTTTTGCGGAGTTGGCTGTCGCTGTACGCTGCCGCTGTTATTTCTGTGGGGTCGGCGGGCGCAACAACAACAACAACAACGTTGACAGCAATCACTCGCGAAGTAAGGATAAATATTTGATTTCCTTCGCTTCCTTTATTAACGGCGCCGCGAATGATCGTGCAGTACGGATATGTNATGTACATTTACTCAAAAGTGCCTCAAATACCACCCCTGCGATCTACATTTTCAAAATTTTACATAGCAACCTGAGAAACATCGGGCTCGTTCATTGCTAACACTACTCTAGCGTTAAATTGATGGCATTTACGTTCATCCGTACGTAGGCATAGCACGTACATCCGAGGCTTACGTTTCGAATCCAGGATCGAGCGTATGGCGAAGGGAATTTCCGTTTTTCACCAATGGTTCTTGCGAGTAGGTAAAATATAACAAATCCTTCTTTCTGTGTAGACAGCAAGCAGACACCTCTCTCTCTCTCNCGGATGGATGGATGGTATGCTCCGGATGATGGAAGTGGGCTTATGGATGGAATGGATGGATGGCATGGAATGGATGATGGCATGGTTATGGTATGGTATGGAATGGATGCGATGGGCATGCGATGGATGGTCATGCCGCATGCGATGGCTGGTATGGATGGATGGATGGATGGGATGGACATGGATGGCATGGTCTATGGATGGATGGATGGATGGATGGCATGGCATTGTATGGATAGCGATGGATGGATGGATGGCATAGGATGGAATGATGCGAATGCGATGGCATGGATGATGGATGGATGGATGGATGGATGGATGGATGGATGGATGATGGATTGGATGCGCATGCGATTGGATGGATGGATGGCATGATGGCATGATGGCATGGATGGATGGCAGGATGGCATGGATGGATGCATGCCGATGATGGATGGACTGGGATGAATGGCATAGAATGGATGAACTGGCATGCATGGCATAGTGAATGATATTGGATGGATGGATGGATGGATGGATGATGGATGGATGGAAGGATGGATGGATGGCATGGCATGGATGGATGGATGGCATGGATGGATGATGCGATGATGGATGGATGGCATGGATCGGATGGATGGAGGATGGTATGGTATGGATGGGGCCATGGATGGATGGCTTTGATGCGATGGCATGATGGCTGCAAGGATGGATGATGCTGCAAGAGATGATGGCGTGCACGGAGGATGGACGGATGGATGGTCATGCATGCGATGAATGAATTGGATGGATGGATGGTATGATGATGCGATGGATGGTATTGCAGGGATGGATGGATCGCTGCAAGGGCATGGATGGATCACTGCTAAGCGATAGATGGAAATGCATGATGCCATGGATGGAATGGCGTGCAATTAGATAGATGAATGGCATAAGATGAATGGATGGATGATAAATGGATAGATAGATAGATAGATAGATGGATAGATGCCATGAATGGATGGATGGTCCGGATAGATGGAATGGCATGAATGCATGCATGCTATGGATGGAATTGGATGCCCTGGGTATGGAATGATTGCGATGGATGGATGCGATGCGATGGCATGAATGGCGAGCTATGGATGATGCGATGCGACGAACGCGACGCGACGGACGGACGGACGGACGGCATAGGACTGCGATGGCATGGATGGATGCGGCTGCGAGGAGGGATGTCATGCGTTGCGATGGATGAAAGCGCTGCGCTGTGCGGTGGGATTGAATGGCCTTGGAAAGATGGATGGATGGCTCAAGCATGACTGGTTCATGCGATGGATGGATGGATTGGCATGGATCGCATTGGATGAATGCGATGGATGCATGGATGGATGAATGGCGATGGATGGATGGCATGGCATGCATGGGATGGACTGGATGGATGGATGCCATGGATGCGCATGGAAGGATGCATAGGATGGATGCATGGATGGATGAATTTGGATGGATGGATGTGATGGCATGGATGATGCATGCGATGGCATGGATGGATGGATGGATGCATGGGATGGATGGAATGGATGCGATCAGATAGATAGATAGAGTAGAAAGATAGCATAGATAGGATAGATAGATAGATAGATGATAGTATGATAGCATAGGATGATGAAATTGGCAATGGTGCGAAAGATGGATGGATGGCTGCAGGATGAATGGATGACATGCATGGATGCGATGGGCGGGCGGGGATGGATGCATGAACTGGCATGGATGGCATGGATGGTATGGTGGGGGGTCGATGCCGCTGGGATGAGAATGGATGGATGGTCCGGATAGATGGATGGATAGATGGATAGATAGATGGATGTATGGATGAATGGATGGATGGATGGATGAATAGATAGATGGATGGAGGGATAGATACATGGATACATGGATGGATGGATACATGGATGGATGGATGGATGGATCGATGGAAGAACGGATGCACTGACGGATTGACGGATAGACAGACATACAGACAGGTAGGCAGACTGACAGACAGATAGTCTGTGTTGATAACTGTTGTTTCATCTTCGTACCGACGAGAGCTGTGGTGATTCCCACAAGCATTCCTATCAACCCGATGATCTGCGACTCCCCGAACACTTAAATTTTTCATTTTAATCTCAAAATTGATATAAATTCATTTTTTTGGAAATAAAACTATTTTATATTATGTGGTCGTTCTCAATTGTGTGAATAAAACATTTCTGAATTATGACTATGGTTGTTTGCTTTCTGGAAGAAATTTGACCAAAAATAATGACCATTATTTTGTGAATAATTGAAATTTTGACATCAAAATCGACATAAATTCATTTTTTCAGAAATGAATCTTTTTATAGTAGTTTGTTTTGTTAATAGATGTGTTTATTATTCTATTGCGGTCATTTTGATACCTCATTTGTTTAATTTGATCGAAAAATAACGATTTTATGATTTTTGGTAAATTTCACTATGGCGGTCATCTTGATGACGTCATAACCGGAAGTTCGTCCCAACTTACGCAATGTTAACATTTATTTTCGTGATCAGGGCGTCATGGGGCTTCAGAAAAATATTGGTTCGGAGGTTTGTGGGGGGGGTGCACGGTAGACCCTCCTAGCTCCCGGCCTATTAGTGTTCTATTGTCTATGACGGAACGCGAATTGTATTCAGCGTGTAGCGTTTCCG